CCAATCTTCAACTCAATCCTCTCAGCTCAATCATCTAAATTCTTATCTCATTCAACAATTATTATTATCATTATTCTCTTTACTTTCTAATCTCCCCTTTTTCTTTAGTTCTGGTTCTGGTTTTAGCTATTTAGCAAATACTTTTCACTATTTTGGCCTTGTAAGGGTATAATATGGCTCACAGCCTTCAAGCTTTATTTTGGTACTACTTAATTTAAACATTCAGATGATATGTTTGAAAACATCACGTTCCATAGAGCACAAAAATGTATGTTGTATCAGCACTTACACCTGCACATTCACGGCAAACCACACGCCGCCTTCCCGGAAAAAACAATCTGTCTACACATGGTGTGCGCCATCGAGTCCACCGTTGAATCGGAATGTTATTATGGTTTCTAAAGTGAGCGCCGACGGACTTTGCTTGGCTGATGTGGTCCAAGAACATGCTATCCGTGTCAGTTAGGGGTGGTTGTTGTGACCTGGATCGCATGACCTACTGGGCTACGACTCAGCTAGTGGGGACGAAACTAAAGTCTCATGGAGGCAGTGCCCGGTGGAATGCAGATATGCCAATTACTTGATCATAATTCGGCGCCAATCATTGTAACGATTGTGTGAAGCCTCAAGTAAGATTCTTCACCAGCGAATACTGGGTCATCGTATATTGGAAATGAATGTGAGGTTATTCGAAGACCGGCAGGACGGCTCCACGCATCAGTTTCGTCTCGCTGTCCATTGCCCACCCATGCAAGTTCCCGTCTGGAAGTGTCGGAATTGCTTTTCCTTGTTCGACGCGTTATATTTCGCGCCAGCCTCACAACTATACCATTCCTCCCGAAATTTTTCACGTCTTTTGCTCGCGCTGAGGACGTTATCATTAAAAAGGTGCTATATGATGTGTTGTACGTGTTGCATCCACATGGACTCCATGGCGCAATGGTAGCGCGTTCGACTCCAGTGAGGCCTTCGTCTTGTGTAATCGAAAGGTTGCGTGTTCAAGTCACGTTGGGGTCATTCCTTTTTGCAGTTTGGGCAAACTGTCATGCTGACCCTGGTATCCGAGAGGTACATGCATGTTTCAACATGACATCACGAGCCGTGGCTCTTTGTTTTGTTTCCTGACAGAAGGACTAGCTTAACTCGGCATCGAGCGATCGGAGGAAAGGCGCGAAGCTCGCGTCGGCTCGGCGACAGGGGTTGCGCTGTCACTAGTTGGAAGGTCCTGTGAAATGAGGTACCATTTTTTGTTTTCCAAATAGTGATGATACTCACTGGCATTAGTGAAAAATGTGCACTTTTCTTGACTCTTGCGCCCCCATCCTGTTGACTGATTATCCAGATATACCTAGTCTAGAAACTTGAAATTCCCCCAGAGAATGTACCCACATCAGCATATGACCAGACAAAAGGGAGCAGGGATAACAATGTCTTCTGCATGATGCTATTACTCAAAAAAGGAAAAAAGAAGAAAGAAATATAATATAATCTTGAAACTCCAAAGCTTCAAAGGAATTGGAACCATGGGGGAAAGACAAGAAGGAAAGCAAGAAACAACACAACTCCTCTCAAGAAGTGTCAGGACCTAATTTTTTATGAAACAAATCATCATTGATTCTAAAAAAAGAAATGACAAGATATTGGAGTTTCAGACCCATTCTCTATATTATGCAGCCCATCAACATCTTTAAAGAGCTCACCGTACAAAAATAATTGTAAAATTTCCAAACCTTTGCACAAGTTCCATAACACAACAAAGGAAACCTATAAGAGATATATACTCTCATCTCAAAATAAAAGCTCTGCCTTTGCAAAAGTTCTCAGATCAAGTATAATCTCAACAGACACCATTACCAGGGAAGTATTTCAAAAGCTTCCCAGCATGGTTTCATACGCTGATTCATCCTAATCAAACAAAGTGTTGAGCCTAGCCATAAGGCTATAAGACTGGCTGAACCTCCAGTCCAATTAGGATGTTACAGTGTCACATACCACCCTGTGACACATTGTCAGCTTGCTACTATGCAGAGCCAAGCAGTCATAGTACAAACAGAAATTAAATTAACAAATATTTAACAAAAACAAATGTTTTCTGCAATAAATCCTTAAATATTATTGCAGCAATGAATTCTACGTGTAAAATAACCTAGGGTCACTCACTACAACCATAACCATAGGAGCAACCCTTCACCTCTTTTACCATAATAAGAAATAACTACTTTAACAAATAAAATAGAGACAGAGAAATGTCACAATAAGGTAATAAGATTACACAATCTTGTGAAAGACCTCTAGATACGAAAT